CTTTAGGTATGTTCTTCCTCTTCTTCTTGGCTAACTTCTCAGCAAGTTTTGAATTCCAAAACTATGTTGAACCAGTCAAGTTAAAAACCCAAATTTACTTTTCTTTTTTTTTTTTCTTTACAACTATTTGAATTTTGATTTCTGGACTTGTGTGTATTTTTTTTGTTTGCTGCCAGGCCTGGTTTCTTTGGATGGTTGTTGGTAATTGGTGGGTTAGGTTTTTTATTTGGGTTGTTTGCGTTAAATATATGTTTTTGGCTTTGCTTGGTTTTGGTAGGTGTCGATTTCGTGAAGATCTAATAGTAAGGCAGTAAAGTAGTCGAGGCTGGCACCGTGATCTCGGTTGGGATTGAGATTATGGCAAAAGGTTTGTGATTTAGATGGAAATGGATTTTGCAGGGGGCGTATCGCATCTATGTGATTTTCGATTATAGAGGCTGGAATTTATGGTTGTTCTGGTCGTGGCTGACTAATGATGGTGAGGACAATTTGGTAACTGGCTGACCAATGATGGTGAGGAGGAATTGGTAACTGGGTAATGGGCTAAGGCTAGTTTGGAGATGGTGCACTGGCCTCTAAGGATGATCCGTTGCAATTAAGGCAGTGGACTGTCTTGAATTTTGGAGTTGAAGGTGCTGGTGGTGAAGATTGATTTTTCTCTGGTTGTGCCTTTGATTGGCTGTTTATGGGGTTAATGGTAGTGGCAATGGTGGACATAACTGGATTTGATCAAAATTTTACTGTTGTGATTGGCTTATGTGGGATGGGTTGTTTTCTGGCATTGGCACAGAGATGATGGTGGGATGGAAAGTTGTGATGGTAGATATGGTTGGGCTATGGTGAATTAGAGATAGTTAGATGCTAAATTGAGAATGATGGCAGTGCTGATCAGGGGATTTTTCTCTGGCTGATTGCTTTTTCTGTAATGGTTTATTCCTTTGGTTTTTCTATGTGATTTTTCTCTAATTTTTTCGTATTGACTTGTATATCTTCTGGAAGTGAATTGCAAGTCCATTTGTAATTAAGGTTTGCAGAGTTTCAAATTGTCTTGGATTCAATTTCCAAAAGCTTTGCATTATCATCAAGAAAAATTCATATTCAAACTTAAATCCAGTTTCTATCTTTTCTCAGCTCTATCACCAATTCCTCCTCCTAGTTAATTCGGTCATTCAGTCTTTATTTTAAAAGTTCTCTCTTTAAAAAAAATAATCAAATAATAATTAAAAATGTTTAAATGAAATTAAAGTTAAAGATAAACCCTAATGAAAATTTAGGCAGATAAAGTAAAGAAAAGAATAAAAAAGATAAATATATATACAAAAAAATAAAAACATCAAAAATATAAAAATTTTGATAATTAAGCCTGGATTGATTTGGGCTTGGATTAAATAAGATGTCTATAACAACACTAGCAGCTAGTACTCTCTGTTCCTTGGTGAGAATGGAATTATCTCTTTAGCCTTATTTTTAGAACCCGGATCTACACTGCCTTCGTCCACTACTAGATCTAATTCCTGCACAGCCTCTAAGATTGAAAATCTATTAACAAAGCTTGCCCGAGTAGTTAGGGGCGCAATTAAAGCCTCATTTTTTTTCTCATGGCACTATCTGGCTGTATCTCATCTACTTCAATCATCTTTGGCTCCTACGTAGCCATACTACCCTAATCCTTAGGCACCCAGACCATTGCTTCTGTCTTTACTATCTTTGTGCAACTTTTATCATTGTGCCCAAATATACAACAGTTCTTGCATTTCTATGGCATCCATGGAATTTCTACTGAAACTGACATAATTGATACATCCCTCCTTTCCACATAAATGAACTTCGGCACTTCCATACTTGCCTTCATCTCGATACAGATATTTGCATACGCCAACCTCTGCTTATTTGCAGTGATCAAATCCATATACAACGGATTACCTAGGGTGCTAACTACATAGCTCAGTCCTTTTTTCGAATAGAGCTCAATTGGTATATTGCCCAATTGCACCCATACTGGTAGCATCTCCATATTAAACTCTAATGATAGCATTCTTGGCTCCTATTTCCGAACAATCAATGGTTTGTCCTGGATATGCCATGGTCCATGTTCTATCACCCAATCCCTAGCTTCCTCATTTGAGAATTGAATGACAAACATATTCATTCTAGCAGGCGCTTGATCTCAATTAAACCACTCTTCCCCCATAGAACATTAACCATCTTCTGAAATAGACTGAAGTTTGGCATCCTTCCAATGAACTGAGCTACCAGCGAGCTTTGCCATTGATTGATCCCTTCCTCAAAGACATCATCAGGAGTTTTTATAATTATTCTACCATCTGTCTTTCTGAGGGGATAGTACTCCAATGCTTGATCCACTGAAGCTACTAATAGATTCCTCCAATTCATTGTGCTCTCCTTTTGAGTTACCTTTTCCATGTTTGCTTCAACTCGATCCACCATTTTTGCCCTAACTCCTTTGATCTCTGATCTCCACATTGAATCGAAAGCCGTTCCCAATAAAATCCTCAATTTACTCATCACATATTTACAACCAACCAATGAGTAATATGTACTCGATATGTATTATCAATAATGAGCAACAACAGAAAAAAAATTGTGAAATATTGATATTTATTTTTTATTTTATTTTTGAAATATCTGAATTTGATACATATGTGATAAATGAGTATAAAAATTAGATATTGCAAATATATGAAAAAAAATTTTAAATAGATATATAAAAACCTTAAAAACGTAAAATATATCTAGCACACATTCGAATCTAGTATATGTACAATTTTAACTGACATCAAAATCAAATGTCAACGTACACGTTGAGGCGTGGGTTTTAAGGTGGACTGACAAAAATGTCGGCCATGGAATGTAATTCGGCTTGTGCAAACACGAAGTAAAATTTAACAGAAATCTCGCTTCGAAATTGAAGAGAAAAGATCCATAGTTCTGCCAACGGGGGTTAAGATACGTGATTTGGTTGGTTGAGATATGGGAATTAATTGGTTGGTTTTATTCTTTTTTAATTTCCTTGTTTTCTTTCTCACAAGTATATTAATTTTTTTGCCTCTGAACGGTGATTTATTGGGTTGGCATTCGAATCTCGTGGTAGTCATCCTCTATTCATCAACTCGCTAAAATTCAACTACATCTCTCTGAAAAACACAACCCCAGAAGAATCACATTCTCTTCAACAAGCTGAGCTTTGGTATTCTTTATTTATTTATTTTAATATATATATATATACTAAAATAATTAGTATTTTGTATTTGAGATAGCTAAGATTTAAATTTTTGTAATTAAAATTAAGAATTCAATAATTTACCACCAAATCATGCAATCGGTCGCAAACAATTGGTTTTTTTTATTGATACAGCCAATAGGGGGTAAAAACTGCTTCTTGATATTTAGGCAGAGAAGATAGAAGACTAGAGGCCATATACTTGTCTCGAAAAAGGGAAGAGAATTATGGGCCAAGTAGAAATACGAGTATGTACTTGAAGACAAAATGATGTAAATGATCGAGCATCTAACCCTTCGTAGATAATAAGTCTGTAATCATTAGGAATAACAGTATATTTGTGACTTAGAACGTGCCTATTCTATTCCATTTCTAAGGTTTTTTTCCTTAGGATCCTTTCATTCATCTGTTCATCTCATGCGTAAGCACATGCTGACAAATTTTCTTTTGCTTTAAGCCTAATTAAAATTCTGTCAAAACAAAATCATAATCACCAATTATTATAACACTCTGTCTCCCCAAATGTAAAAACTGAAAAGGCAGTAGTTTCCTTTGCAGGAAAAAAAAAAGTCACATTTACTCCATGACTTTAACCATATAGGAATGTGGACCATTTTACTTGTCTTACGTCTTTTGGTCAGCTGTTCTTCTCTGTGACAAGAACTCAAGCGAGAGCACTAAATGTTTATCTGCAAAAAGATCGAAGTTCTTGGCACACGGGAAGTTTGCTCACCTGCCAAGTTTCGTCTTCTTTTGGCTAAGAGAAAAAAAAAAAAAAAAAGGCACTTGCTACTGGCCAGAATACCTCCGAGTTTTTGAGCCAGCCTTGACAGAAAAGTATCCAATGATCTTTAAAAAGTTTTGAATTCAAGTCAATGATTGTAAGGAGCTTTGACTTACTAACTAGGCAAACTCCAGAAAAGAACTTGCCAAGTTTTTGTTATGTTAGGGCCAAATAACTAAATATATAAATACAGAAAAGACGGAAGCCTGAGAATAGAGAGAAATTGGAAATTTGTTCTTAACGTTTTTGACATTGCAGCCAACATAAAACGGGGACATCCAAGTGGAACCTCTAGGAATAAATAGACATTGTTCGAACTCCATCATAGCCTATAATGTCTTTGAAGGACTTTGCAAAGCATTCTTGCGTGAGGATACAAAAATTTGATTAAATTAATCGTTCTTCCTCTGCAATCCAATCGAAGACAACCAGCAAACCCAATTTGCAAATTGTAATGCATGTTTTGAAGAAAGGAATTCCAATTAAACTTTTGGAGCTCTCAGCTTCTTTATTATGCTAATAATTCATTGTTTTTTAATATTATACTAGAGGGAAAATCCGTGGTCATTATGGGTTAGAGTTTATGCTGCTCTAAAGGAACATTAATCAATCACTTGCATCATCAAATATGCATGTGGGGTTGTTGTAGCTTCATGATTGCTCTGAGATACGTACATGGTCCTTTGGTTATTGAAATCCTCAGGTAGGCCACCCAATACTAAAAATTAGGGATGAAACAGAAAAGATATGGTAACTTCTTCCTCATCTTCTGTGGTTTTTTTGTCAGTTGATGGGGTTAGCTCTCGCCTCTCAGGGCTTTTTTGCAAAGGGCACATAGCATCCTGCTGGTTGAAATGTTTGGTTTTTCGCTGAGAGCCTTGCAGAATACTAAATGCTTAATTTCGGTGACTAGGGGTCAAATTCTGACAGCTTCAAATAAAAAAATAAACATTTAGTTTTCCAGAAACCATGTCCCTAGCGAAGATCAAGATACCTCACCAACATGTCCATTGCCAGAGGAGTAATTCTCCAACCCAGGGAGGCCCCTACCCTATGACGAGAAGTAGAACATTAGTGGTCTGGTGGACCAAACCAATTCATTAGACTGTGTCGTGATATAAGAGGAAACATGTAGCTCAAGGAAAATTTAATTCCTATCTAATTGAGACGGCGTCAAACTAATAATAACAAGTTTACGTAGCCAAATTTTGCACTTGCCTCTTCAGTTTCATCAGTAGTAAAGTTAAAATTGTTGATGATAGATTGTCTTTGAAGTTTTCCATCGGCAAATACAGTTTAACTTGTTGATCAAATCTCTCATTGGCAGTTTAAGTTCCTGATTGCAGCCATAAAAGACAGGTGCTTCATCTTTAAAACTATCCAATCTCACATGGATGTATCAGATTAAAACAACAGTAGTCTATTAGTTTTCTCAGTCAATTTGACCGGTTCCTCAAGCATAAAAAGTCAGCGTACCAGCTGGAAAATTGTGGCCTTCTCACCATAGATCCACTACTAGTGTTGGCATCCATCCCATTAGAGTGGCTGGTTAGGAGTTGCCTTATAAAAGCACAGCAGAGTTGAAAATAAAACAGGGCAGATAGAGATGTGGACCGCTTAAAGTAGGATATAGAGGCAAGAACACCTCCCCTGGAACTAGTTTTAATTAAGATGAGATGCATGTGATATATCTTTCGCTTTTACAATCCACTTCTTCAAAGCAAAGTTCCAGGATAAATAATGGGCCTACCCCAATTGCTTTCTTGATAGGGAAAAATCCCCATTAGAAAAAAATTAAAGCAGCAAAGGAGAAAAGGAAAAGAAAAGCTACAAGGAAAAAAGCTCATATATAGAATGAAAGGAGAAGATATGGAGGAGGTAATGATGATGATTAGCAGCCCCGGTAATCCCAGCAATGAGACTATTCCTCAAGAACACATCACCACTACCACTTGCCCTAGCTGGAAACTTTACGACAATCCTTTTTATTATTCTCACCATCATCAACAACAACTATGCCAAAGTAACAAGCATCTACATCAAGTAAACCTCCCTCTCTCAGCTCGAAAGATCGCAGCCTCTTTCTGGGATCTAACCTTCTTCAAACCTTCAGTTATGGATTCTGAACTGGATATTGCTCGAGCCCAGATCATTGACTTGAAAGCTGAGCTAGAGTACGAACGTAAAGCGCGAAAAAAGGCAGAGTCCCTCAATAAGAAATTGGCTAAAGAGTTTGCCGAGGAAAGAAGGGGAAGAGAAGCATTGGAGAGAGTATGTGAAGAGCTTGCAAGAGAAATTTCATTTGATAAAGCAGAGATTGATCGAATGAAGAGAGAATTTGAGGAGGAAAGAAAGATGCTAAGGATGGCTGAAGTTTTAAGGGAAGAGAGAGTTCAAATGAAGCTGGCCGAGGCTAAGATTCTCTTTGAAGAGAAGTTATTAGAATTGGAGGAGACTAAACGTACACCACTAGCTGATACTTCAGTTTCCAGAATTGAACAGAAGAATAAAGAAGATAAATTACCAGCATTCACCGCAAATCTTTCAGAGAAGTTTTCGAGGTTAGTTTTCAATGAGAAATCTTGTGACAATAGTAACACCGCTGTTGATTCAAGAGAGTCAACAAGATTTGCATTGAGTGAAAAGTCATCATCCTGTTACGATAATATAAGCAGTAGTACTGTCTCTTCATCCATGGCATTTCAGCGGAAAGCATCCCTAGAACCTGAGAATCCTCACATAAAACGAGGGATTAAAGGGTTTGTCGAATTCCCAAGAGTGGTTCGAGCAATTGGATCAAAGAGTAGGCATTGGGGCACAAAGCTGGAGTGCCAAAAGGCTCAGTTAAGCATCCTACTAAAGCAGAAGAGCCCCATCCGATCAAATAGTCTTATTACGAGTTGAAGATATCAATTCCCTTGATCAAACCCTTTACCTCTCCAAGTAATTTGACTTCCGTTTTTTGGCTTAAATTTTCTTTCTTTCTATCTTATTTTCTTGTTGAATTGTTTCTGCTAATGGGTTGCTGCCCCGAACCAAAATATCTTGTTCTTGAAAGAGTAGAGTAAATATATGCTTTGAGTTTGTAATTTGCTGTAAGGGTGTCAGGATGTATATGAGTTTGTGTTCATCAACATTTATGTGTTTGAAATTGGAAAATGCTGGTTCGGAACGGATCTGAGTAAAAAATGTGTTGGAAACTACAAAAAACTCATTGTAAAGAACTGCTAAAAGCTCATTTTTTTAGTAATAGACATCTGCACATGCTGGACTTTATTTCCAAGCCATTAGTGGATCTTGACATAGATAAAAGTAATGAACAATTTTTCGGTGAAACTTTGGGACTTAGGGTTTGGAAAATTCAACGATCTTTGGGGACAGATGACATGTGCATTAAAACTGTTTTTTCAAGTGAAGTAAAACTAGTTCAGAAGTCACTTTCCATTTCTTAGGAATAGCAGGGACAATAATAAAGCAAAAGTGTGTAGGGTTAGGGAGCCGTAAGTAACAGTCGTAATTCTCGTGAAAATCACCAACATCTGAATCTGATGTATAGCATTGAGTTGAGAGTGTATTTAGAGATAAAAATGGTGAATTTTAATAGTCTAGACTAAAGTGAGTATGTGTTTAAAGTTTTCCTTTGACAAAAACCAAAAGATCACAACTGTTACCGAAGAATTCTCCTTCAAGGGTAGAATTTTTTTTTTAATTCAGAGTTTAATTTAGTTCATTTATGTAGATTATTTGAGTTTAATTTTAACACCTATATGTCATGATTTCCTTTATCTCTAAATTATTCTTTTCTCCTCTTAACTTCATCTAAATGGTGGAAAATTTGAAAATCCACATGTGCTTTGATTTAATGATCACCAGCATGAGTCGCCTTAATTTGTATTGCTAACTGCTCATTTAGAGTAACCCAAAAAAGAATGAATTAAAAATATAGAGTATGAATAATAAGTATTAAATTTGGATGCACTCCTGAAAAAAACCTATACATTTGCATTACATTTTGACCACTTGAGGCTCACCCTTTTACGGCATCGAAGGAGGGAAGATTCTTCAGCCTTTGGCTGGGGGATTAAAAATTTAAAAGCATAGTGGAAATCATAGAAGTATTAAAAACCATGATTAAGTTCGATGAATTTGCCCTAATTTCAGACTCTGTAGACTCTTAACGAGTAAAAATGATTGCTTTGATGCTAGTACACGCCGGTATCTTACCTTTTTGAGTTCATATCATCATTTGAACGTATTGAGAACAAACCTCAAGTTACTTTGGGTTGATACTTTTAATTTTATTTTTTTGTTATTTATTTCTTATTTTCAAAATTTCAATTCATTAATTTTTATTTTTCACTCTTTATTGAAAAAGAAAAAATAAATAAATAGCAAAAGAACCTTAAAAATTAATGAGCAACAATCATAGGCCATCATTCATGCCAAATTAAATGCAGTTTTCATTTATCTCTTTACTGGATCAAGAAAGACATAAAAGACTAAAGCCTCAAGTCTCGATCCATCTTTGACTAAAATAATTATTCAATCGTATGAATTAATTTAGACTTTACAAAATTAAATTTTGTGACTAATGATAAATATATGTATACTTTAATACTTTAAAAGGTGGATTCGAATATTTTCTCTCAAAAAATTATATTGGATTTCAAAGAAATAATCTCCAAAATCAACTATATGATATGTCGGGTAATGCAATCCCTCTTATCTCATTTTATATTTGCTAGAAAACCATATAATATATATATATATGTATGTATATTCAAGCTACTTCTAAAGAGAAACCCAACATAGAAGAAGCATATATTTCCTCCGGTCCTTAATCACCAGCCTTCGCTGTTTAAACATATTTATCACAAATTTTAATTAGCAAACTAATCCAATATTTTATCTTTGCATGAAATAAGTTACTCTACTGAAAAATATAATTCCAAAAAATTAAATTACATGTTCGATGCTTATGTTAGGAAGATTTTGAGTCTTGAATATTAATTAAAATATTTGGTTTTGTACCTAATGAACCGTTTATATTTGATAATCCTCATATATAAAAGCAACCAATCATTTTGTTGGCACTTAAAATCTAGTTAAAATAAAAGAGAAGGAAGGCAATTAAAAAGCCTCGAATTCAATGTCTTTCCAGTATCTCTCTGATCCAATCTGCTGCAAATCAGGACCTGGTAACTAAATTCCCTCCTAACAATTGAAGATCGGAAAGAAAATTGAAAACGTATTCTTCATAATTTTGTTTGGTTACAAACAATTGAGACAATGAGATTGATAAGAAAACAGGATCAACCCGGCCCTTTTCCTCGGTCATCGAGAGCCATTTGTTACATGAGGTTAAAATCTAGTAGGATGGGATATGTGACCTAATGGACCCATCCATTAAGGCACTGAAATTTTACAAAAATAAAAAGATATAGATTACCACAGACCATGGTTTGTGGGAAGCCATGTTTGGTAACTTTTTTTTATCTTTCTGCCTAAAAAAATCAAGTGAAACCATGCAATATTCCTTCCCCAATCTTATTCAGCTTCTAACTCACCATTTTTATTTATTTGAATGAAGCTGTATTAGGTTAGTACTTAGGATTGCCAATTCTCATTCAAGTTTATTAGATTTTACTAGTACTAGTTTTTGACAAACAAGTCTAATAGAGAAAGTTCTAGTTTATAGCTGCATTAATTTAACATTTTCATGTGAAAGAAAAGTTTAATTGAATAATTACAACACTTTAAACTCTCTTTTAAATTTAATTATATTCTCATTTTTCTTGGGTTATAAATCTTAATTACAAAATATAAAAGAATCCATTAATGTGCTTATAAATAATGATTTAAAATTATTCAAAAATAATTTTAAATTTTAATTTAATTGATTTAATAATTTTTAAAAAAATAACTTTGAAAAATTTTTTGAATTAAATATCAACAATTATAATTTTTTTCAAACTATCATTTTTCTTGCACCAAAACATATAATTAAAAATATATCTATTTAATACATTGCTTTCATCAAATTAAAAAATAATAATACATTAAAAACAAAATTTTTTCATTAAATATCACTTTAACCCATATCTGACGACATTTACAAGCATTTCCAAATATAAAAATATCCAAACCCACTCTCAATAATTTGATCAACTCAACTTCAAAGTGAGTATAATTAGCATGCCTCCCAAGTGCTAAAAACTATGGCTGAAGATGCACTAAATCAAGCTAAATTCTTGGTCCAAATTTAATGCACAATTTTTAAAAAGAGTATAAATATTTATAACCCAATAGAAAATTAGTTAGGGCATCACATCAATTGGCTTTGGTCCCCTCCACACGCTCACACGAAACCCAGTGGACCCCACCCTTTTTTCCTCACGACTCTCGATGCTATCACACAAAAGTTAACGGCGTCAACTTTAACAGAGAGGTCAGTCAACTAAGTCAAAAAAACAAAGGTTTTAGCACCTTTAAACGCGCAGCCAATCAGAACTCAGTCAGCCAAAGAAAATTAGAAGTCAAACCATTTACGTCCAATCAAATATGGCTGTTTTGTACTTGATCCTTGTATTATTACAGTCTTTAAGGGATTCTGAAAGACTGTTAGGAAAAGCTAACGTCGGAGATGTCTCAGTGTTGTTGTCAGTGTCAAAGGAGAGAGAGGAATGGGTTTTGTCCGTATTCCATAAGGGGTGCGAATGTTGGAAGCTGAGGAAGCAAAGTAAAACGCATGGCTGAAAGTGGCGGCACCGCTACACCATAAATATTGCCAACATTTTATATATTAGCAACAAACAGCAGTGGCTTGAGAAGTGTGAAGAGAAGCAAAGGGCGGATTGATTTGCAGTGTCGTGCAAGAATTTTTTTTTCAAAAAAGAGTGAAAGTAGCTTGGGGTTTAAGGTTGTCTTGTTCTGGTTTTTTACTTTGTAGATGGGAAAGGTGGCATTTTGAGGACATGGGTACCAGGAATAATGCTTTTGTGGGTACAGAGAAAGGGTTCGGAAGATCATCAGATCAGTGCTGTGATGTTGGGTTGGATTTGAGGATGCAACAAGTTCAGGTATCTTGTCCAAACAAGAGATTCATGCCAATGCCTCATCATCAGCTTTCATCATCATCTTCTTGTTGTGGTGAAGGATTTGATGGAGGAGCTTGTGGTGGTGGGCCCATTGTTTGCAACACAAGCAATCAGGTACCATGCACGGGCGAGATATACGATGTCGTCGGTGCTGCTTCTGCTTCTGTTTTTGCTGCTGCAGCGGTGATAAAGTCTCTGCACCATCATCCCTCTTTTCCCCACAATTCCACTGGTAAATTCCTCTTCTTTCTTCATCTATTAACTTTCATTCATTCTTTTCTTGTAATTTTCTATGTAGTGCATTAACGATTATAGATTAATGAATGGTGTTTAAACTTAATATATGAAGGAGAAATGGCAGCGCCTGTGAACGCTAGAGTGCCTTTCACAGCAGCTCAGTGGCAAGAGCTGGAGAGGCAGACTATGATATACAAGTACATGATGGCCTCTGTTCCTGTCCCTCCTGAACTCCTCATACCCCTCACCAGAAACACTTCCAATGGTATCTTTTTATGTTTCTTCTTTGTTTAATGTTACCAATTTAGACACAGTGTCAAGTTTTGTTAGCTTTTTCTTGCATTAATTATAAGGAGCGCATGCAATTTTCTTGGTGTTGATAGCGATAAAGGGGTCTTTGGAATTGGGGTTTTCGGGCAGTAGTTCGGATCCGGAGCCATGGAGGTGCAGGAGAACTGATGGGAAGAAATGGAGGTGCTCCAGAGACGTGGCTCCTGATCAGAAATACTGTGAGCGTCACTCTCACAAGAGCCGTCCCCGTTCAAGAAAGCCTGTGGAATTGCCAAACCACTCCATCAACAACAATGATCACAAATCACAAACACTTAACATGGCATCTGATAGCAGCAAGCAGCATCATCAAAATCCCCATTTCATCAACCACAACGATGCTCATTTTTTCACATCTTCATTTGATCAACCCAGGTGAGCTATGGATTTCCAACAACTCTCTCTGCACTGAATCTGATAAACCAAATCTTTTCTCTCGTGTTATTTTCTTCATACTAGTATTTATCTCTCGTTCTTAACCACTAATCAGATTATCTGAATCTATGAGTATAAATGCATGATGTTGATTTTTTTGTCTTATTTATGTTACTTTTGTAATAATTAATATATAAGTGATAGTTTATGGTTGACCCGTGAAGGTGCTGGGAGTGGTTCATGAAAGGGGAGACAACGGTTCCTTTTGCTAGCAATTCTAACCGAGAGTGGCGTCAGTATAAGACACAAGAGGCAAAATATGGGGGAAATGTGAGTGAGCATCAACAGCATTATAAAGACCATCGCCTTAATTTGCAAGCTCAGCATCTAAACGAGCAGTTTAGCCCCAGTTTAACCTCCTTGGGAGGATCCTTGAATCTCAACCAAACACATTCACAAGAGACAAGGAGCTTTATTGATGCATGGTCAACAGCAGAAAGAGAGGTTGCTGAAATGGATGGCGGAATTGGGAGCAAACGCCCTGTTTCTTCAAACGAGAAGCTACCTCTCTCTTCTCTTACACTGTCAATGTCGGGTGGGAATGGAAATAATCAAGAAGACGATGAGAATAGTGAAATGGGCGATTTTGGTATCATGGGCTTAGCAATGGAAAATGTGAGGGCTTTGAGGCCCCAAATGGCGGATCCTATTTCATGGATGGGTTCGCCGCCTGGTGGACCACTGGCTGAAGCACTATGCCTTGGCATAGCAACTAGGCAAAGCACAAGTACGAGTAGCTACAGCAAGAGCACATGAGACGATGGCCAGTGGCTAATTTTTATCAACTAGCGCATACGAGCTTTATAACTTTGATGATGTTTGAACATTTCTATGTACGACAAGTGTTTTTTTTTTTTTTTAATATCAACGTTACTGGTAAATGGAAATTTCCACTTGGTATTCGGAGCTAAGCCCAATCTTTTGAAATGCAATATGATTGGTGAATGGCTCTTTGTTTCTTTTTAGTTTTGGAAAATGGGGCATGCTTTGGTCCCCTTGCTAGTTACATTCCCTGGCCTAGCTCATTAATGGGAGTGATTTTGAATTGTAGTGTAAAAATACGAGTAGATGTTTAGTTTCTATTAAAATCAGTACTACTATTATCATCAGAAGCTTGCAGAAGGAACATGTTAGCAATCTATCACTTGTCTTTTTATCACTAATAGTAAGTACAGCACTATTTATGAAAATGGAGTGCATTAATTATCATCCATTACTGCTTTCCAACGTCAATGGGTATCACTATCAGGTTGAATTTTTTATTGATATAATTTTTTTCTTGAAAAAAAAAAAGAAAAAGAAAGGAGAATTTCATCAATCAAGAAGAAGCAAGATTAATTACAACCACCAAAAACAAAACGAAGTCTGAATCTTCATAAACCATGTTGGTTTTAATTTGAGGGTATGAAGCTGATTAAACAGGGTTCTATCAAAGGGCTTCAGCCCTGACCCCAGTGGCTCATGATCCCACTTTAGGTGGGTTCCTACTTTCTCATTAGGTTCACTGGGTCTGTGTTAGATCCCTGGTCCACTGCAATGTCACCGAGAATGGGGTTTCTAATTGACAAAAAAAGAAGCAGGGTTTCTGATTTTTGGGCTTACCATGATTTCGTGTTGAGAAAAGAAAAACAAGGGAAAAGAGGTTGCGCTATTGGGCCAATTTGCATCGATGGTCTGAGACCACAAAGTTTATTAGTAGTAAATACCATACGATTGTATATAGAATTTCTAACTCCAAATAATGGGTTTTAATTTCAAATTTTCAAATTAGATAAATAATTGCTATGAATCATATCATTCAAGGAAAACATAAATCAATACTATGTCTCAATTTCTCATTTCAACCACCTTAGATCAGTAGTTGAATGTGGAGAAATTTCATCCCCAAAACTTTCTGTATAATACGAAGAGTAGAATGATTCTTTCCATCCCATAGTGCCCCTCAAATGCACTTTTGAAACTAGGGCTTCTCAAGTTGTGGCTAAAGCTACTAGATCCGATGCCAAAATGACTTTCAGGAGCTGGATAAGAAAGTCTCTTCTTAGCTAATGATCCACCCCGTTCCCTCTGTGGATCAGTTGATGGCCTTTGTCTTGGCGTACTCTGGGACCGTGCCTTTGCTTTTGCTGACTCTGTGGCAGCCATATAATTTGGAACCGTGGCAGCTGTATTTCCATTCCGAGACATTCCATTATTTGTGCAGTAGGTACTGCAAGCCAAGCTAGGAGTGTTTGCTGCTGAGTAGTAGCATTTCTCTTCTTTCAGGCACCGAGGGCTGGCTGAACGAACTTGCAAAGGCTTTGTTTTGCGAGGAGAGGGTGTGGCTGGAAATTGGTTGACAGAGAATTCTCTAGTCATTAGAGGAGCAACAGAGTGTGAAGTGGAAAATCGTCTGGGATTTTGATACTGGAATTTTCTGATTGTTGGAGAAGAGTAGGACTGAGGCTTATAAGTATCAATTTCTACAGTCTTTATAGAGTCTGTTTTATGATCAGTTGATGCCCTACTGTTGCTTTCCCATTTCTTTGTGGCCATCCACCTATCAAGCCATTTTGTTCTTTCTTCTAATTCCTTTTCATCTTCCGCGGATGGGTTCTTTCTAGATCTCCATATCTTGATGATTTATATAAGATTATTAGCTAATAGTTACAGAAACAAAAACATGCATAGGAACCAAAACTCATAAAATAATAAAAAGGAAAACCAAACCAACCTGGTTAGAGAAAGCATAAGCAAGGGCCTTTTCACGTTTAAATTCAGCTTCCTTCTTGTTTCGCAACAATGCTTCAATCTCTTCGCTTGCCCGTGGTCTGTCGTCCGACTCATCTGTTGTACAACTCATATATCTGGACTAAGGCATAAAAACCTTTCAAAAAAAGTATACCCCCTAATGAAAAAAGATAAAGAAACTTACTATTATTTAAAAGAAAAAAAGCTAGTACTTAATCACCATGGACTTTCTACCATGAATATCTTGCAGATATCTACTCTCCCATAATGCATTGGTTTCAGTAAACATAGACTTTCTGCACCCTTCGTGTGAAAGCCTTGCACGCTGTTGATCGAGCACTCGTTCTTGTACTCGAACCAAAGATTGCATGCGTTTTAGTGCCAACTTTGCTTGCCTTCTGACATTGTGTCCTCTCACTAAAGCTTGAAGCTTCACTAGCCCCTTCAGTGCACGCAATGCTCTCCTTGCCTTCATAAAATTCATGAAAAGAGAGAATGAGCGTCATATATAGAATCTTTTAGTAATGACTAATGATTGCTGTTACTCATGATTTATCTTAACTCACTAGGTAGCCTCTAAAAGCTGTTTGAATGACAATAGCAACATACTGTTCTCTAACGTTAGCGTAATTGGAAGGTCTAGAGCTAAGCCTAAAGATCTCAACAGCTGCTTGAGCTGTTGCCACAGCAGCTTCAGTTACTGCTGCAGTGGCTGCTGCAACCGCAATTGCGTGCCTTTGCTCTGCAATATCCAATTCAGGATTCACTGGTGTTGCAGTACCTGTAGTTTCTGTTGGTGTCTTTGCTTCACATTGTTGAACATGATTGATATTACTAGGCCTTCTAAAGAGCCATCTTCTCTTTTCCCTCTTCTGCACAAGCCCAAAAAGGCAAGCACCAGGAAATTGATTAAGGTTTAGTATAAATGGAAGAGAACTCGCTAAGCGCAGAAAACAACGATAGATGTAGTTCTTAATTACTAGTATTACCTTTTCATCTTCTTCCTGCTCACATTCTTCTCTTCTTCTGCAACTCTTTTTCTCATTATCTTCAGCTGGAGACCTGAAGGCCTTTTTCACTATTGACAACCATGAGGTAGCGGTTTTCTTTCCCATGGTCACGTACGAGAAAACTCTGCTGCATTCAAATTAAAGTAAAAGCGAAGGGCTAATAATGAAATAGAGGAAAGGGGCATTTGTCCCAATTGATTCCTTCACGATTATGAATATTTGTAAAAGGAGCGAAATGAATGAGAGGGAAAGAGAGAGAAGAGAAGATGATGTTCAAATTTTGCAGAATCTAAAAGGAGTACGAGCTCCAATATATCTGCTAAGCGATAGGTGTTTTCTAGTGGAATGGGAGAAAAAAATTAATGGAGGAACTGTCAGATATTTGTCACGAAACCTTTAAAATAAACTACCATATTAAGATAGAAGATGACATGAGAAAGGAGAGACTAGAGCGTTTAAAGTCTCTTGAAAATTGCTAGGCCTTTTTTGATTGATGAGCATATGCTTTCATTTTCTCTTTTAAAACAACTGACCAAACCCCATCGACTTCACGTGTTATCAGCTGCAAAACGAGCAGAGATTCATTGGAGGGATTAGATTATGATGTTTTTGGCATTGAAAAATCCTCGAAGACCACCAAACAGCTTAACCGGGGAATTCCCGCCCTGTATAGAAATAGAATATCAATGAGTTGGCTTCATTTCCCGGTAGACTGGTCAAACTCATGCTTCGATTCTCTTGTCAAGTTTCCCAAATCATTTCTTGTCTGAAATATCATATAAAATAAGGACAAATGAAAAATAAAACTTAGTACTATTAGTGTCACGGACTTAAGAGGAGTCTTGAATCTCACATCAAACATAATACAAGGGTCACTGAGATATAAAATGATTCATACCACTTCTGTCTTATGAGTCGTCTTTTGTATGATAAAACCGTGAGGTCAGATAGGTCAAAGTGAATAATACCTCACAAGGATGTGAACTGTGGCGGTTAGGCTGATCTGAGATGTCAGAAGGGTGAATGTCCGGGTCCCGGAGCCGTATGGGTTTGGAGCTTAAGTCTCGACTCGTGACAAGTGATATCAGAGTTAGCCCTAAATCGTTCGATCCACGTCGAGCACCTCAAAGGAGGTAGGCATGTTGGCCAGCCTCCGTGACCATGGCGTCACGAGGTTGGGTGAGAGAGAATGTCACGGACCTAAAAGAGAATCATGAATCCCACATCGAACATAATAGAAGGGTCACTGGGGTATAAAAGGGTTCACACCACCTTTGTCTTGTGAGGCACTTTTTGTAAGATAAAACTGTGAGGTCATAGGGGTCAGAACGGACAATACCTCGCAAGAGTGTGAACAGTGACGGTTAGACTGATCTGAGAGGTCGGAAGTGTGAATGTCTGGATCCCGAAACCGTGCGGTTTTAGAGCTTAAGTCTCAACCCGTGACACTAGTACTAACCATTATTAAATTCATCTTTGAACGAAATATTGAAAAAAAAAAAAAAACAAATCAGATTTCTATATCTATTGCATTTCTCAACATAATCTAGATAACTATATTTTCGGCTGCAAGGAGACTTACAAATTTCATTGAAGGAGAATTCGCCTGGCTTGTGATTAATTTGGGTAGAAAAGAAACATGGTTAACTTTAAGAAAAACATGTACTACATTAATGCAACAACCATTCTACAAGTGAAATTTCATTCCATTTGTTAGGAGAACTCTTCGAACCGATGGCTTAGATTTGGTAAAGACCAATCTCGTAATTTATTTTGGCGTTTTTAGCTTTCACTTTTGTTATTCAAGTAGTACTTTGTTAGTTTGTTTAAAGTAGCAGGACTGATTAAACGATGCTGCTGCTGCTCTCGGGTCTAATCTCAAGTCCCCACATATGCGGTCCGTTGACGTACCAGAGCCCAATAATTATCACACGCTTTGGTCAATTAGCTTTGAATCCTCTCTACGGAACTGCAATCAGCTCATTTAGATATAGATTCCATTTTGAGGAATGGTTAAAACCGGATGCCCCCCACTGTTAGAGAGGGTGTCGATTTGGTTAGGGCCTTTTGTGTATTTATAAATATATATATATATATATATATATATACTAGTTTTCTTTTACGTGCTATACGTAATTGTTAATTAAATTATAATTTTAATATAATAAAATAATTTTATTATTTTTATAATAATTAAATTAAAATAACTATCATCATACTAAATTAAATTTAAATTTTAAATTTAAATTTGAAAAAATAAATATAACAAAATTTTAAATTAAAATTTCAATAAAAAATAAATATTTAATCTTTCTCTATTTTGACTTTTTTTTAGGTCTTTTTTGTTTTTAGATTATCATCTTCATTCATTTTTTTATATATATTTTCCTTTCTTTTTAAATTTTTTCAAAAGATTATCTTTTATTACAATCAAATCCGATTTTATACTTTCTTTATTCTTTATTTTATGCTTTTTCTCGAGCTTTTTTTTAAAACTTTTTTGGTAGTGAATTTTTATTTTCAATTTTATAAAATTTTAAAGCAATCGATCATTGTTGAATTCATTTAAACTCTTGCTTTTCATCTATTTGCTAATTAAAATTAAAATTTTTTATTTTGATTTGAAATATTTTGTTATAAAGTTTTTGTTGCTTGAAATAAAGTAAATATATGATTTTCTTTTTCATGATCACTTACCTCTGATTTTGATATGTACTTAATTATGTCATATAAATCATTTTGTAGTTTAATTTTATAGTAAAAAATTGCATACTTACATGAATTTTACTAATTAAAAAAATATTACATAAACATATTCTAAAAAAAAAGGATTTGAAGCAATCCAGAATTATTAATGTCTCGATGTAATCATCAATAATGTTTATTTATGTATTTACAAAGGATATTGACTAAAACTACTTTTAATATTGAATATTGATTTCTTAAAAAGCCACAAATATGTAAAACTTACTAAAATATGTTATAATAAAAGTTTAAATAACACACTTTACTTAAAGGATATATCTTATCATAATCAAATGGTATTTTTATGTTGTTCTTTAAATATTGAAATACTCTTCTCAATGAATTTGGTTCAATATTGTTATTGTTTGTTAAATAACGAAATATAAGAATTCTAAAATTAATAAGATATGACCTATTTTAGATAAATATCAAAAGATATTATTATATTTTGAAGGTAAACTATGTTTTAAATCTTGAATTGTTAATGAATATAGTTTTAATATTTTAACTCTTTTTTATTTAAAATAGAGTAATTTCTTTATTTGACGAATACTTAATCATATATTTAGTATAAGACATATAAAAAATTCATCATTTAATCGATATTATTATAAAATTATAATTTATAGAATTCATACTATTATTAATATTATTAAATCAGGTATTTTAATTTAAAATATTATGTAATTGAAAAAATAACTTATACGTAATTTTTCTATGATGTTTTCTAATAAGTTTAGACTCATTATTTCTTTCTTTCATTTTAAAAATATCTTTAAAGACAATAATTTTTCATATAGTTGCTATTAGTGTTATAAAGGATACCACATAACACAACAATTTTATTTTTAGTAAAGATATAGTATTACTCTAGTTACTATTAATTTATTATCAAGAAGACAATCAATGACATAAAAATTTAGATAAAGTCATTCCAATTTTTCACTTTAAAAATTGACTTTTTTTTCAATAAAATTATGTTGTTATAGTAATTGGTATATGAATATTGGTTTAATCATTTTATATATGTGTACAATATCCACAAATATTTGTAATTCAATACCTTAGTATTAAATGGCAATAAATATAATTTTTTAAATGAATCAAATATGTTACACATATTAAAAAAATATAGCTCCATATTAATATTCAACCAAAACAAAAAAAATTTTAATAAGTTAGCAATGATTTACTACTATATATTATCAATGATTTACTACTAAATTATATCACTAATTTACTATTAAAATATGAATAGTTTATTATTAAGTTATCCATACTTTACTACTAAGTTAAAATTGATTTATTATAAATTATCATTAATTTATTGTTATCATTGATTTACAACTTAATTATAACTGATTTATCATTAAGTTATCAATAAATTACAACTAAATTAACACTGATATATTATTATAACTAATTTATTATTATGTTATTAATGATTTATTATTAAATTATTAATGATTTACTATTAAGTTATGAATGATTTATTACTAAGTTATTGATAATTTATTAGAAAGTTATAACTAATTCTCTATGAAGTTATAAATGATTTACTATAAAATTATCAAGGATTAACTAATTTATTACTAAATTATCATTGATATACAACTAAATTATAAATAATTTATTAGAATGTCATTAGTAATTTACTACTAAATTCAATGATTTACTACTATATTATTATGCATTTACTAATTACCATTGATCAATTACTAACTTTTTAATGATTAGCTGTTAAGTTATTAATTATTTACTACAAGTTATCAATTGAATTACTACTAAGTTATTTATGATTTACTATTAATTTATCAATAAATTACAATATATGAGATAATTTTTTTTATATAATAACATCATTGTTTCCTTCAAATTTAGAATTTTTTTTACTAAATTTTTTAATGAATAAGTTCATGGTAGGTTTATTATAGTTCCTAATGATGAAAGTTCTTGCTTTGCTCTTTCTAGTAACCAAGGTTTAATCACAGGTAACTTCAAGTATAGAAAAATGTTATCACTAATTAACAAATAAGTTATCAATTACATATTACTATCTTATCACTTGTTACTTCTAAATTATCATTAATTTATCACTAAGTTATAGATGATTTATTACTAAGTTACAAACGATTTTTACTAAATTATTGATAATTTACTATTAAGTTAATTATTATAAAGTTATTACTAATTTACTATAATTTATTATAAAATTATTACTAATTTACTATAAAGTTATTGATGATTTACTAAGAAGTTGTTAATAATTAACTAATTTACAACTAAATCATTATTAATTTATACTAAATTATCAATATAAGTTATCAATAATTTACTATAACATTATTAGTGATTTACTA